AGTCTTAGGCCCGTATGCACGTACATCCCCGCTGGGGAGGGGAGGGGATCTGAGAGGGGATGCGCCATATCTCGCTACTTTACGTATCTTTCTTCTTCCTTTTCTATCTTGCTCATGAAGGTTCTCATACCCTACTACCTGCGCATAATTGATGCCAGGTTACCGGCATAACTGATTAGATTTGTACTAATTTGTGTGATCCCCTGGGGATCCCCTGGGGATCCCCAGGGGATCACCTCTCATTTTCAAAGTCATTTATCTTTCTGAGAAATCAATGGAAACGCCGCAAAATTGTATTGAGGATATACTACGGCACTGCTAAGCATGTTTTCGACAGAAAAAATGGAATCTGAAGATTATGAATTTTTCGATGATCCCTAGCTTTTGAGCCAGGGATTACCGAAGATTTCGATATCCTGAGATTTCACTTATTTTTGCTTTAAACATGCTTAGCAGTGCCGTAGTATATCCTCGGTACAATTTTGCGGCGTTTTTATTGATTTCTCAGGAAGAAAAATGACTTTGAAAATGAGAGGTGATCCCCTGGGGATCCCCTGGGGATCCCCAGGGGATCACATAAAATAGTACAAATCTAATCAGTTATGCTAGTAACCTGGCATCGATTATGCGCAGGTAGTAGGGTATGAGAACCTTCATAAGCAAGATAGAAAAGGAAGAAGAAAGATACGTAAAGTAGCGAGATATGGCGCATCCCCTCTCAGATCCCCTCCCCTCCCCAGCGGGGATGTACGTGCATACGGGCCTTACACTTTCGTAACCCAATACATATATGTGTGCGATTGCGGTCACCATCAGATCTGCCCGTAAAATCCCAGACTCGTTAGCCGATACTCATATATACTCATTTCCATGTACTCATATAGAAAATGTTCAGTAAATGTCTTTTCATCATCTGGAAAACTGAAAATACGAAAGAATAACTAAAGAGGCACTTTTCTAAAGAATCCGTCCGCGGCGCAGCAAAAAATTTTACGCGTAATGTGGATGATGTGTGGATTTACACAAATTCACATGGTTACGAAGAGAGTCTACTGCACCCGATCGCAAATGCAGAGCTGACGCAGGGAATGACGGCAGGGACGGGGGAAGCTGACAGTTGTATGAATGAAAATTGTAAATGAATCCAAGTCAGAAACTCTGCAAAGTAATATCGGCTTTGAATTTTCTAAAAAATTTTCCAGTGACATGCAAGTTTTTTAAATTCTAATATTGTTTCACTTACTTAAAAAAAGTTTTTACCGCCTCCTTCCCTTAGAGGAAATTTGTGCGACCTCCACATTTTAAGTTGGCAGAGTGCCAATTTTTCTACCTTTCTCGTTCTTGCGACTATATCACTTTCTTTGAAAACTGAAAAATTTCGGTTTCAACTCAAACATAATTTGCTCATGCAATTACACGCCATTGTTGGCAATCCACAAAAAGCATTTCATTAAAATTTTGCAAAATTCCAGAGGTTTTTTTCTGCCCACAAGTGCGTCATACATTTATTCATACGAATTCTTAGTTATTCACCTTTCACTCCTTTCAATCACAGCGTGTCACAGCTTTTTTATCCTACAATACCGCAAATGACGTTGAAAAGTGTGCCAACCATCAAAAGTTCTAAGCCATGAATTTTTTTCACAAACGTCCAACTCTAGGCAACTTAGCCGCGGGAGGTCTTTGACAGAAACTCAATACATTGTGCTGCACGCACTTTTGCGGACTACAAAAACTTGGAGTAAAAAGGTGAAATCTCTCCCTAAAAGGCTTAACTACTCAAAGGCAAAAGTTTGCATGTGAAAGGAACGGCTGAAAAGCCTTTTATGTGTAAAAGAATCTTTTGAGTAGTTTGACCTTTTGTGTTGGATACGGTAAAGGCTGAGAATTTGAGAAAAAGCTAAAGAAAAGGAAAAACCAGAGCTTTTCATTTGTGTAAGCACAATCCCATTTACGTAAGTAATCAAGAAAATTCAAAGATTCTCTGCAAAATACCAATCAGTTTTTTATCCCCTCTGATGAATGCGTAATTTCCTTTATCTAAAAAATTACTTCCTTTTCAAGCTTGCAGCTACAGCAGCCTCTTGCAAATATTTCAGAAACCATATTGATCGAGAAAGTGGGTTAGATTGAACAAATAAAAATTAGAAAAGAAAATATGATTGAAATAATTGAAAAATTGTAATGAGATGAAAATCAAAAAAGAATTGGAATGAATAAGTGTATAAATTTAAATTAATTTTATTATATCATAATCATAAAATCGGATAACTGTTTGAAATGTTTTGTGAGTGACTCAAAAAATAAAATTAAAATCATGTAATCTGTGTATTGGATAAAATAAAAATCAAGGGGAAATAAAATAATTTAAATAAAATGGAAAAAATCAATAAAACAATGAATGACACAAAAACCTCAAAATCCCATAGATGAAAATTCAAGAAAATTGTAAAATTTTGGGTTCCCGAAAGTAAATTGAAATATTTTATTTTTATTATATCATTGATCACATCATTTTTTATCTTGAAAAAGGGAAAATTAGTTTTGGAACAATTTAATAAAAAAAAAACACACGTAGTAAAAATGAATCGGATAAAAATAAGTTGATTAAGCATGGAAATGATAAAAGAAAAAATGAATCAAAATACATAAAATCTAAATAAATCGAAAATCTTATGAATAAGATATAGCCCTCTTCGTGCTGCGAAGATTTGAAAAAAAAACTTCGCAAGAAAATTTTCTGTTTGTCTAGCAGTTATTTTAGACGAGTCACAACCCTTTGTCATCTTGCAAATGACGGGGCTCAAGGAGTGTTTGCTTAGATTGAGCGATATCGATACATGCGTCACATAGCTGATAAAAAAAACTATCGTAAATCGGGCAGAGTTGAAAAGTTTGGCGATAATTTTGAATTGCCCTCAAAGCATAAAATTTTAAGTTATACTTGGGTTGAAAAAAAAATCATGTCCCAGCAAAATCGTAAAAATCAGGAAACGCATTTGGAAATAAATCAAAGAAACGCGGACGCAAAGCAGAAGAAGAAAAATAGAAGATCTTAAATGGATGAAAATAGAAGATAAAACTAGAAATAAATGAGATAAAAATAAAAAATGAAATATAAATAATAATATATTTTCTTAAATATTAATAATAATAATAACAATAAGAATCACAATATAATATAATAATATCTTAAGTAGATAAAAATAGAAGATCTGACTTGGATTAGTAACCATTTATTTATCCATGACATGAGTTTTTGGATTATGAGAATTTTTACAACGAAATTCCCTTCCCCCCCTCCTCCCCCCAGCCCAAATAGTTTCAGAAATCATCTTCCTTTTGGAAACTGACCCTGATCCTGGCCAGCCTTGCAGAACCCTTACATTTATATCATCCCCCAAATTCTACCTACATAATGCATTGTTCTCGATGTTGGTCAATTTTTTTTATTATATTCAGACAAGTAGGCACTTGACCAAGCATTTGTGCTCTAAAGATTTTAAGAAAAACTTTTGAACAATGCGCACAAACCTTTCCTTTCTCTGCCATCTTTTTTTCCAAAAAACCGTTTAATTGTAAATGTCGCCTTTAAGTTATAAAAACTAATCGCTTTTCGATTTTATGATAGTCTAGACACTTGAGAACTAACATCATATTGTGTAATATGAATCAGAGAACACTCGACTCTGTATTTGTAGCATTTCTTATATTCCGTATCAATGTGAGTGCTTAAAAAGAAGCGAAGTGAAGTGGAATAAGTTTGGTCTAGTTTCTCAAGCAATTCGCTTTCGCAAAACTTTGGCAAAGACTTCCTATCTTGAGAAATGACATACAATAAAATAGGTGCACTTCTTGTTTTCTAAATTGAAAAAGCTACATTTGAAATTACGAATTTTTGCAAAATTTGATGAAAAATTTTCTTTTTGCGAAGTTATAGGTGGGGACAAATGAATAATTGGCGAACAATGTCAAGGCCGTATCATCGCCAAATTTATTCGTTAAAAAGTGCATAAAACTCCCAACGATTTTTCTTTCAATCAGAATGTTCGCGCAGAAATAAATCGTAAAAAAATTACATGAGAAGCTTCCATGTTTTGAATATTCAAATCAAAATGGGTATAGGGCGATTATTACTTCTTTTTGTTTTTTTTTTCTGTTTTTTTACAAACTATCGATATTTGCTCTTCAATCTTGCTTTTGAGAGTTTCCTTCAAATAGGAAACAGATGGAATTTTTTTGAAAGCTGTTCAATTTGGAAAATTCTAGTTTTAGGTGATTTGAGACGCAGTTACGACCTGTAGCCTGTTAAACCAAATTTGTTGCTCTTGAAATTTGTCAGACATCAATCACACATATAAAAATAATTTATTAGTTCATAAAAATACCTCTAGAACAAGTTTTAGAAATTTTCTTTCGAGTACTTATTGCGCTGTTCGTTTTAAATGAAAATCAGTCTGAAAAAAGTGAAATAAGGTTCTTATGTTTTTTACACAGTACGAAATTCAATTTTCTCAAATCTACTGGCTTTTTAAATAAAAATTTTTCTGAAGTTTTTTTGACACGTTATTGTGTTATTATCATTGCATTATTAGCATTCCATCTTCTGCCCTCTACCCCCCCCCCTCATCAAATTCCGAAGCATTTAGCACAAGAATTTCGTCACTGTTCCTTTTCATTGTTTTAGTGACACATTATGACACATTACCTGACGAATAACAAAGAGACCGCTGCGCGTCTAAGTGGTGTGTGTGTAATTGCGTCCGTGATGACGCATAAGTTTGTCGAATTTGTCACAGTTGGCCGGACCCTGAGTGTGCGCCACGACGACGCTGGCAGCGCCCCTTTGCCACCACAACTAGGTGGAGAGGATACTTTGGGGGCGGAGCGCGAACCGAACGAGACCCCTCCCCGCATAGAGAACCCGAGCTTTCACCTGACACTTCACCCGTCTACCAGCGTCTCTCCTTCTTTAACTATTCTACTTGGCTAGCTTCCCCCCCCCCCCCTAAAAATATGGACGGAAAACTACCGGCTCAACCGGCTAACAAGCCTGGCCTCAGGCGACAAGGACGCTATCAACGCCGATCGGCAAAGGATTTCTTTTGCAATCTTAGCCATGCTAGACGTCTTGTCAGGTAAGCGAAAAGCCCGTTTTATCTGGTTTCCGAGGTTTTTTTGGCTCCGCTCCAAGCACCACTCTGTCACCATAGGGAAATTGCCAATTTGTCACCTTTCACTTTCGTTTTTTTCTCGTTTTTCATTTTCTCAGACTCTGACATTTGCTAATGGCTGTGCTGGAAAAAGTGTAATTTTCACTGAAGTGAACCGCTAGCCCAAGGTTGAGTGGAGGGCAAGTGAAGAGAAAAACATGTAATTTACTCTTTTATGAGAAAATTTACCGTATAATCGGAGGTTCAGGACTTTGTCATCTTAATATTAACCATTCAGTCATACTAATAGTTATTTCCAGCATTTTCTAAATTTTTGGTACTCCTAGATTTTCAAAAATTATTCTCACCATTACCAAAAATACCTATAGGTTGCCCGTCTACGTCAAACCGTTTCATAGATAACCCTGTCTATATCAAGTTTAAAACAAAAAATAATCTGAAAAATCCTAGATAGGATTTCAAACAACTTTGGAACAGAAATTTTATTCAAAATTTTTTCGCAGCTCTTAAATTGCCATCTCAGGCAGCATTGCAAATGCAAAAACTCTAATAGTTTTTGAAGTAAATAAACTTCAAATTCCTATAGTAATAAAACGGGAAATTTCCCTAATTTTTCTACTAACATTGAAATCGCCTTTTTGCTCGCATTGAGACCACAAAAGCTACGAACCGAAAAAATTTATTAAAATGTTGAAACAGCGAACTTTTCAAGAATTTGTCAACAATAGTGAAAATGCCATTTTCGACAGTATTGAAACAGGAAATTTTCTAAAACTTTTTTTAATAAATAAAATCGATGTTTTTAGTGGTACTGAAACAGGAACTCTTTCAAAAATTTTTCCTAGCAATAAATTGCCATTTCCGACAATTGAATAAGAAATTTCTTGAATAATTCTTGTAAAAAACAATAGAATTTTTCTTACATATTTTAGCAATAGTATTACGTCAGCATTTCCCTAAATTACAGTCGCTTTTCTCAAATTTTCTCTATTCCTCTCTCATTTATCATAGCCTACGCAGCACAATTCCCCCCCTTCCCCTTCCGCCCCCATAGCCATAGATTATAGGGCATAATTTCTTTTTTTCTGACCCACCACAATAGTTTCATGGCATGTTTCTTTTTTCACGATCATCGACCTTAAAAGTCGGAAAATAACGGTGTAATGCCCGAGACTGTTCGATAATGTGATTGATGAAGACGCATTTGCCGTGCGCGCACAAATGCCCGATACTATGTCATGTAGCACTAATTTTCATTGTCAAAGTGCATTCGGGGGGGGGGGTCACAAAATTTTATGAAAATGCTCTTAGCCTCCTTCATATGGTAGTCGAAAGTCGGGGAGAAAACTAGTCCCATAGCTACTTGTATAGCCGAAAAGTCATAATTTTATCCCGCTCACTAGTTTTCTGTGATGGGGCTGTGTCACTTCGCCAAAAACGAGTTTTCTCCACCTCGTCATCGAAATTCCGCTCCCCATATGTGAGTCAGCCCTTAATAGCACTCTTAAGGTCGTTACGGGTGGGGCGTTAATGCATTATTAGCGGGTGGTTTTCGTATTAAGCACTATGAGTGTCGAGAAAGCTATGTGTGCAGCCGCTGTCGCGGGGCTGACATTTCTTTATGCTCTACGAGGGCAATTCATCTTGATTTGTACCCGCCAATTTATCCCCGGGGAGTAATAGCGGGGTCGCTGCGAGGTTGAGAATTTTTAGTACTCTGGAAGCTATAGACTTTTCTGGAAAAGTAAATAGATGAGAGTTTAAGCCGCAGCAGAAATTTGAGTCACATTTGGATGTGTAATAGGATCAAATAGGCACGGTAGGATACGGTAGACATACTGTGGATGTACGGTAGGTTTACGGAATCTAAATGTGAATTTAATTATCGAAGCTTGTCCTTTGATTCAACTGGATTGACGGCTGGAAGGCGGGCCTTTGTGACCTAATTAAGGCCGCTCGCGCCCGCTACGTAGTCTGAGTCTCTCTCGCGCTCGTGCTCTCTGATTATTCTCTGGCCTTAACTAGGTCAAGAAGCCCCGCCTTCCAGCCGCCAATTCAGGTGAATCAAAGGGTACATCTTGGCGTCTGTAAGTTGACGAAAGATTTGAGATGCAGGAAATATTCAAAACCTGCTAGCAGGGTCATTTGGTACGGTAGGGTTACTGTAAGCCTACGATGGGTATTCATTGAGTGCAAATGAATTATGTCCAGACTTTCGATCGCTATCACTGATGTCTCATTTATCCGCGCAGTCCGACTTCTTGAGATACGGTAGATACAGTATGCAGAGCTGCGGTCGTAACGGTAGGCATACGGTAGGCATACAGTAAAGGAGTATTCTGCATGCAGATGTCGCTATAAACATTCATATGTGGCACACCAGTCATACTGTAAAGAATGGCTAATTTGCATTCATTAATTTACGGCAAGTATACGGTAGGTATACGGTAGGCGTACGGTATGTACCTTTGACTCAAAATTTTCTGCCAATCTAAGACTTGCGGTAATTATCACGATAGTCCATTTTCTGAATGCTACGATAGACCTAATGCTTAAAGCTGCCGCGCTTTGGATTTGTCGATACGATAGGTATACGGTAGGCGTACGGTATAAGTCTGTTTTCTACCGATTTTACTTGCTTTTTACTTTGAAGTTTGGAGTTTTTGATACCTACTAAGTGAAATCTTGCAAAAAAAAAACTTCAGGTATCATTTTGAGCATAAGCTGGAGCAAAAGTCTAAACTTCAGAAGCACATTTTTTGCTGCTTTCTAGCATACCCATAGCACAAAGAGCTAATGCCTCGCTGAACCTTTTTTTCACAAAGTGCAAAAGGATATTGAGCTGCATGTATACATACTTACACAAGGAGAGCACTTAATGCAAATTTCATTCTATGCGGCTTAGGAAGGAGCCGTGCACGTGCATTGGCCATTAATTCCGCTTCAAAAAATTCTTCAAAATTCTGCACGAGAATTCGTTTTTGCTGAAGCGTTTTTGCTCCGTATAATACGAGGGTTTAGGCTTAGCTATGCGATTATAAATCATTCAGCAAGTACCAATAAGAGTGCAGTTGGCATGATTTTTTTTTGTTGAGGGAATATGAGCAATTTATTTGAACGAAAACTTTACAACAATATTACATCGGCTCCTTGTACTATTTTTTATAAAAATTTTCTTTTCTCTAGAAGAATTTATATATTGGAAGCACTAAATGTGACGGATTTATTACGCAGGAAGTGAACAGAAAGTAAGCAATGCGGGCTATGAGGCTGTTCATTGTATCCTCCTTTCACGCTAGTCTACAGCTAAGCGCGCGCAACCGCGTCGCATGTACATGCGGCACGTACATCTGAATTCATACTCACTAGCGCCAAAAAAGCTGCATAATTTTGAATTGTATAATTTTCATGAATTAAACACTGATTTTCTAATTTTTGACTCCTATTATCATCTTTAGTTATTTATCTCACTATTATTGTGAATGTTGTGACATTGATTTGGAATCTAAAAAAATTGAAATTTACATTTAATCGAAATTCTGCTCCTCACCTTGAAGAAGTGATAACAAATCACCGATTAATGTCTTTGAAACATAGCCATCTGCGGCTGAATAGTTTCTAATCTCTGGCCACGCCCCTTTTTGGCCTCCGCCCACCCACTCTATTCCAAGAAGAAATACGATTTTATCGAATGATGTTGACAAGATGCTTGCTGCTATGAGTTAATTTCGTGCAAATTTTCAAATATTCTAAAAAATAGTAATAAAAACTTTCGTAACAAACTTAACTTTCATAACCTTCATAACAAACTTAACTTTCATAACTTTCATAACTTTGATAACAATTTCAAACCGGCCTTATTTATTTATTTATTTATTGAATAGTATCTCCTCCGCTTCTGGCAAGAATTTTTAGTTATGAAACTTTGATAGACTTGTCACTCTTTCAGAATAAAAATTGAAAATTTTCCGCACTGCCATCTGCCATGCGTGATTTTGAAAAAGATGCAGTTTTGAAGTATCTGAAATTTTGTTTTTTCTTTGCAATCTGCAAACTCCTAAAGGTTGCATGATGTCATTCAGCCCACGAGATATTTCTTCAATTTTTATTTGAGCGCCTGATTGCTGACGCACAAGAGGGAGCACGAGTGTCGACGCCTGTCAGATCTAATGAGCCTGAGGTGACAGTAAAAGCCTGAGAAATGCGTAGTTTCGAGCGGACTTATGTGACCCGTTAGATCTTTCTAGAAATCTCTGGCTAAACGCTCTCAGAGGCTGCAATTCGCTATAGCGAAAGCACATTTTAATAGTCGTAACTAGTAGAGCGAAATGACGACGCGGAGAAAGTGCTTTGGGCTAGACGTGAAAGCCAGTATACGGTCCCTTTTACGAATACATTACGCTGGCGTTTACGAGATGGGATGCGGTCTGGCACATTTTATGATACTCTTTCTCTCTCACACACAGGCCCACATTTCAATCAGATGCCCGCTTCGCTGTATTTGAAGCTTTAGCTTTAGTGCTGTAGCTCAGCTTATTGCCATTGGTCTATCCAAAAGTTACGGTGCTCGTTTTTGAATTATCGTTATGGAGTAGTACGGTAGGGTTACAGTAGTAGTACGGTGGCCTTTTGTAGGATGTAGGATTTTTATAGGATCTTTAATAAAAAACCATTTTTATTTTCCTGGTTTTAGTAAGGCGTAAGACAGTCCAATTGGAACTTTGTGAACACCCAAAAACGGCTTATTCCAACAATCTGCACCATCATGTGACTACCGTAACCCCACCATTTATCGTGGCCTTGCAATAAAATTGTAATAAAGTTAAAGAAGTTCAAAGTTTTTATATATGCTTCGCTGTATGTGAAGCTTTAACTTTGACGCTATACTTATCTTATTGCCACTGATTTATTTTGGAAGCTACCGTAGTCATAGGCACAGTTTTGACTTACATTATACGGTAGGC